ATTCCAAGGTGTGCCTTTCACCTTCCATGGGGTTTGCCAAGACTTGAGGAGAGCACTTTTTTCCTCTTAGTTTCAGGGGAAGCCTTCCCTGGAAAATAAGCATTTCTTCTCTACCTTAGAGAGGTCCTCACACTAACATCTCTTCCCACTGCTGTCTGGGGACCGGCATCCTCCTTGTAGAGACTTACTCCTTTACCTCTGCAAGAACTGTGGGCCTTGAAGGAGCTCAGTTAGAAGCAGATCACCCTGGGAGAGTAGTGATTGGTTAGGACTTGGGGAATCAAGCCAAGAGAGAAGGCACCGAAAAAACAGCTTCAGGATGGAGGAATAGGAAATGCGTGCCTGGCACCCAATAGGTGCTCAGATTGTTTCTGAAAGAATAAATAAATGAATGGACATGAACCTAGTTTCCTGTTCTGGCCCTGCACCCAGTTCTGCAGCCCAAGGGCTGCCATAGGTCCTTTGCAGGAAGGCTAGAGGTAATTGGGTGTCTCAGAGGAGATCGGAAATGCTAAGGCATCTGACACTCTCCTCCTGGGCCAGAAAGGAGGCAGGGCCACCCCATGGTGCCCTACCAGCCAGACCCCCAGATCCCTCTTGTGCTCTGGTGGAGCCCTGCCACTGATAGAAAACCAGGCCCGTGAGCTGCTGGCTCTGGTTGTGAAGTTGTCCCTGTGCTCTTTGGATTTGTCCAGCTGTAATAGTTCTCTTTTCCACCAGTTGTTTACTTGGCAAGGCCCAACCCTAACCTGAGACCCTGCAGACACCACATTGTAAGTCCCTTTGGTACATGATGGGTTCCTCACCAGCACTGTGGTGTCTTCAACCCACAGACACTGCCCTGCTCCGGAAAGTTGAGTCCCAAGAGAGAGAAACCCTGCTCTGACTGAAGCTGAAGAGGTCTTACCATCTCCCCTCCATTCAGCCTTCACTTCTCCCTTAGTCTGGTTTAAAGATGAACCAGAACTCACTCACACTATGGCCTTTGGAAGGGAGGGTAGGGAGGGGGGGGTCTTCTCAGTGGTCAGGGAAGTGGCCCAGAAAGACCCCTCCCAGTTCCACCCTTCCCCAACCCCTTTGTGTCCTTTCCTTCTTCCGTCAGATTCTCTTGAATGCCCACACCTCCCCATCCTTCGGGGCCTGGAGCAATTCCTAGAAGGCCAGGTCTGACTCCTTCCTGGCAGGCACCACTCACTTCTGGGAGGCCTGACTTAACTTACCCTCAACATGAGAGGGGCAGTACCGCACGTTCTAGAAGGGGAAACTGAGTCCCAGATACATAAAATGACTTTCCTACAGTCACGAAGGGCTGGGGTGTGTGTGTGTGTGTGTGTGCCCACGCGCACGCGCGTGTGTGTCTTGTGTCTTGAATCTCATCTCTCTTTTTTTCGTGGGGAGAGGTAATTAGGTTTGTTTATTTATTTATTTTTAGAGGAGGTACTAGGGATTGAACCCAGGACCTCACGCATGCTAAGCATGGGATCTGCCACTTGAGCTCATCTCTTGAATCCCATCTCTTACTTCCATTTCAATAACTTATCTATTAGATATCATGGACTCAAGATTTATATCATCTTTTTTATCAGGCTCCTCACCCATCAAACTCTATTTGACATTTTGATGGTTGAATAGGACCATCCCACATACTTCAGTGTTGTATGCTGGTTATGGGATAGAGGCGTAGCAAGGGACCCCTTAGACTCAAGTGAGATGTGAACCCAAAGCAATGGGTGAGGGACTGTGCTTTTGAAGGAGCACAGGTCTGGGAGTCCTGCAGCTACAACCTCTGAGCCTCCCTCAACCTCTGAACCTCAGCTTCCTACTCTACAAAATGGGAGGGGTGGGCTGCCCCGAGGACCCCAAGACTTGTTCAGGCAGGGGGACCCTTGGCAGTCTCGCTGGTCCTTGGGAGTTTTGTCTCTCCTGCTGAGTTGCAACTTTTTCATGCATGCACTCCTATCAGAAAAAAAGAAAGAACTGAACATCCCCTCAACATACACACATCATTAAATTATATATGTCTTTCTGTATTTATTACATATGCTGTAAAATAGAAAAATGGGAATTAAAAGGATGAGATAGTGAAATGAACATAAATAAGTTTTATGACGACCTTACCTGCTCCCGGGGAAGACCTTAGAGAACCCTGGTGTCAGTGGCCAGTTTACGATGCTGGGGCTCAGTGCTTCCTCTGCCTGATTCACCCCTTTCTCCCGTTTTCCACCAATATCAAATCACAGCAAAGCTAAGATTTGCACTCTGTCCTCTCTGGCCAGTTCCCCACAGCCACTGCCCATCTTCACAGACGTGAGATTCTCTTGTAAACTGCATGGCCACCCCTGTTTTAATAAATTAACTAACATTTTGGGGAACTCATTCCCAAAGCTAACTTGAGTAAGTCATAGTCCTTTTGGAGGGCTGGGTAGATCTCTGCATGTAAAAGGCAATCAGCTGTAAGCCAAGCGACTATTTTGTGTATTCTCCGTATCTTAGCCAATTTGGGAATACATTCATGTGGTAATTATGTTCACAGCTTCAGTAGAAAGGCCCTGTGCTGATGTTTAAAGCTCAGAAAATTTAATCACTGGGGCAAGTAATTGACAATTATTACACCCTATGGGGAGAGCAAAACCATTTTTTACCCAGTTGGAATTACTTCTTAGATATTTAGTGCATATCAGGTCCTGAATGGTGAAACCATATCCACATTGTATTAAAGGATGAAAATTATGCTTTGCTCATTTAACTCATAGTAAGTGGCTGATGCTTTTTATACAGGATTAGGTCGATCAGTGAGAGTGTAGTTTAAGTGCTGGATCGAAAGCAGAAAATAGACTCAGACTACTGTGCAGTCGGAAGGGGGCAGGTTGCTTTACAGAGGTGTCTGGGAAGTCAGCCTTGCAAGAGAGAGAGACATCTCACTCTTCCCCAGGGGCGGGGGAACCTGGGAGACACTGTCAGGACCAGGGCGGAAGTTGAGGGAATTCGGGGCTTGATGGCTTTAGTCTTTTCTGTGAAGAAAGAAGCAAGATCAGCCACTAGGAAGGTTGGCTGAAGGTAAGCTGCCTCGTTATCTGGCCTTTGAATTAACGCCATTCTGACTGCGCAGTAGAATCACCTACGGAATTTTTAAAAACCACAGTGCCCTGGTTGCACCCCACACCAATTAAGTCAGAGTCTTGGTAGGGGGACCCAGGCATTGGTCTTTTTTTTTCAAAGCTCTCAAGTGATAATAAGTTTGAGAACCAGTGCTAAGCCAGCACTTGTCAGACTTGAACGTGCAGACAAATTATCCCAGGAGCTTGTCGAGGTGCAGGTTCTGATTCAGGAGGCCTGGGTGGGGCCTGAGACTCTGCATTTTTAGCAAGCTCCTTGGTGATGATGCTGCTGCCCCAAGGACATGGACGATCCAACTCTGACTTGAAAAACTGATGGCTGCCGACAGGCTCCATAAGGACCAAGGTTGTCAGTATCTTACAATGGGAAAACACACAGGATCAGGATATATTTTTAGAAAATGAATATCTTAGAGGAAGAGGTTTCTCTTGATAAAAAGAATCTAGATGAGGCTGATTTCAGGGGGAAAGGAGAGCAGGTCACATCTGCAGGCTGTTGGGGCTGAAGGGGGCATCCCCGGGACTGGGGCCAGGGGACTCCAGAACTGCCCGTCCTAGAGCATCCGGGTCCTGGAGGTGGAAGTTGCCCAGTGCAGCCCCGACCACTAAGACTGCTTCCCCTGGGGCTGAGCTCACTTTCCTGGGAGCTTCACAATCTTCCACACAGGCAGTAGCCCCTGGCTTGAGTAGCTACGAGGTAACCCCTGTCCAGCATACCCAGGAACCCAGTTCTCAAGCATTTCCTCAGGGGTGCTTGGCACTGTGGACCAGGGGCCTTGTGATCATCCTGAGAGTTTTTTTCTGAGGTGAAAATGCTCTCAATTCACAATATAAAATCAAGCCTCTCCCTAGGTGATATAGGCCTCCAAGGGGGGCTCCCAGCATGCCCCAGGGCTTTTGTCCAAATTCCCAGCTCAGAAACCAGGCTCTGCCTGACGTGGTCTCAGGACCCTGTACTGGGTCAGGGTGGGGTTCACAGTCACATTCTGGACTTCCTTCAGTTGGAGTTGCTGCAGGCTCTTCAGGGGTCCACATGGAATCCTTTAGGATGTGGCTGAGAGTATTAGGTTATTTGTGAATGTGTGTGTTAAATGCCCACAACAAGGAAATAGATGGATTACGACCTTCAGAATAGTCTAAATTATCTAAGTGGTTAAGTGTTTTCATTTTTTGAAATTGAGCCATAAATGAATCCTCATTATAATAAGTGTCACTCTATATGGAGGCCCATAGGGTAAATTGAGTGCTTTGTGCACGCTCCGGAAGCAGGAAGCCTGAGGGGCAGGCCCAGCTTGCCGGGACACCCAGCAGGGCGCAGAGGTGGGGCAGGTCACTGCCTGACTGCCTGGGAGTCAGGCCTCAGGTCGGCCTCTTCACGAATGTGAGTCCTTGTAAGAAAAACAGCACACACGCCGCTTTGCTTTGGTTTACTTTTTCTGAGTGTGTCAGAGAAACTCATTCACAGGTCACCCCCGTCAGACTCTTCACTGTCCACAAGGTGCTTTCTCATCTACTGTCTCGTCATGAGGGTCTCGCACTGGCCGGTGAAGGTGGGTGGCCGCCATCTTACCCTCCAGGGCTCCTGTGGGCCTGACTCTGTGCTCTTTCCACAGTGAGAGTGTGGTGGCCTCTGTGGTAACTGGCCTCAGGCGAGTTTTAGTCAGTCTTTCTGGGTTGCAGTTTCCTCATCTGTAAAGGAGGTCGGGAAGATGCTAGAGGTGTAAGCTTTAATGCCCCTGCCAGCCTTGACTTACTATGATTCTGTAAATGATAGGCTTATGACAAGAGGCTAAGTATGTGAACGCTAGGCCCAGAGAGGCCTAGATACTCGTTCGTGTACTCCTTCATTCTGAAAGGATTTACCGAACACCTGCTATTCACCAGGTACGGATGTGAAGATGAGGAAGTGAGACAGTACCTCCCTCCTGGAGAAACAAGGAAATAGGCGATGCCAGTCGGAGGGGGAGGGTCCGGACTGGACAAGGGTAAGTGGAGGTCCTATGGGAGCTCAGTGGGTTTGGGCGGGATCTCAGAGGATGAGACCCTAGAGTCTCACAGGTGGGCAGGAGTTGGCCAGGTGAAGGCAGAGGCCCGAGAGGGCTCCAAGCTGAGGGGCAGGCCCTAGGGATAGCCTGCCTCTGGTATACTTAGATCTTCATGAGAGTTAGACAGAGGGTTCAGGTGACAATTCTGTGACCCAGCTGGTCTCTGAGCCCAACTACTGCCCTGACAGTCCCTGCCCACCTCCCCATCTGCCCTGGGCACTGAAGCTTTTCCCCAGAGTCTTCATCTGAGGGGCACGTAGGCTACACTGGGGTTGGCCCCAGCCCCCAGCCTCTAGCCCCAGCAGCTGGCCAAGGGCCAAGAGAGGGAGAGTGTACAGCAGCCTGCAGATCCTGATGGTCCACTCCCCATCACTCCCCATCCAGTTTTACCCCCAGGGATAATGGATGCGGGTAGAATAGATGGCTGACCTCATTTGCATCCATTGCAAACAGTGTTTTGAAAAACCAAACTAAAGATTCCCTGCCACCTCTGAAGTAGTGGTGCCCCCTTTGCTTGAGCTTTAGTTGGTGGCCCCTGTGACACTCCTTGACTTGAAGAGTTCCTCCGCGCGCATCTCCTCTGTATTAATCAGCGAGGAGGACCAGCTTCCGTCTTCTCTCCAGTCATTATCAGGCTTCACAGCTTGTCCTTGGGGACAGACTTGCCCTCTGAACCCTTATCTCAGGAGTTGGTTGTTATTCTCAGGGCGTCGCGGGGGCTTCCAGCCCAGGCTCCTGTGGCAGTGACGCCCCCTCTGCCTGCACTGTTGCGCGCCGGCCCCCAAACTGCTGAGCCAGAGTGGAGGACGAGCAGAGAGGAAGAGGGCAAGAAGCTGCCAGACGGTGCGTGAGGAAGGCAGGGCCCCTGCTCCCTTCCCCGGTTCCCCAGTGTAGCCCAGGGCCCCACGTGGAACCCGATGGGGAACAGGTACTCAGTCCACCGTGGGGGAAACGCAAGCCTCATCTCAGCAGACCAGTGGCTCTCAAGGGAAGGGACTGGGGCTACTCACTGGGCCAACTTTGGCCGAGTCATCAGGCAGGTCCAAAGCTGTCATATGGGAGGAGGCAAAAGTGAGATCTTGGCCCTTGGCCCCTGAGATGCCATACACAGCTCACCCCCACCTGCAGCCTGGCCTGGCCTGCAGCCCATCTGGCCCCGGCCCTGTTCCCCTGGAACTCATGGGTGATGACGTGCCTTCCTACCCGCGTGACATCTGTCTCAGGAAGGCGGGGGTGGGGGGAGGCCGGGAGGGAAGCGGGGGGGGGCGGGGGGGGGAACTGGAAATTGGCTGGGAGGTTGGAGGCCTCTGAGCCCTCCAGTAACAGAACCATAGCTGCTTGGGGCTACACTCTCTGAGACAGAACTCTGGTGACCCTTCAGTTCCTCCCAGGCAAGAGGGAGAGAGGAGGGCCCTGGGGGAGAAGAGAAGGAGCAAACAGTTCCGTAATCTTCTGGAAAGGACCTGGCTACCAGTTGAAAGACCTCTGCTGCTCACATCCTCTCTAGTGCACAGCTCTGCGCTGATGGAGAGGATCTACCGGTCAGTTTTGCCAGGAGACAGAATGTATGGTGAGTGTGGCCCTTACAGCTCCCAATAGGAGAAGGAACCTGTGGTTGACCCTAAACTCACATCTCAGCCTCAGTGGACCCTTCAGCTAGTTACCTAACCTTCCTTATGGAATCAATTTTCTTATCAAGAAAATGGGCACAACTATAGGGCCCCTCTAGTAGGATTGTTCTGAGGACTGAGGGAAGTAATATATGGAAGGTTCTCAGCATTCTCAGCAGAGGGCCTGGCACATAGCAAATGCTTAGTAAATTTTAGCTCCTGCTATCTGTGGGAGGAGCAGGGGCCTGTGGGAGGCACCTGACCTGGCAAGGTTGCTTCCTCAGACTCTGAGCAGGAAGGTTCTGGAGGATTCACAGTCCTAGAACCAGGGCCAGGCAGGGAGTGGAGTGAGGTTTCGCAGGAAATGGTGAGAGCCAGCACCCGAGCTGAAGGTGTGTGCCAAGAACAGGCAGAGGAGGTGTTGAGAAGTTTGCCTTCTTGCCCTCGGAGGGAGGGTTAGGGAGGCAGAGGAGCAGGGAAGCTGCCACATCTGGAAGGGCAGACAGTGTAGCCCATTAGGAGAAAGCAGCTTCCCGGCTGGATAATCCCCAAGCCACAGGAAGCACGGAACCTGATTTCTCCCGGTGACTGGCCTCGCAGACCATCAGAAGCCATGTCTGCTGTTGTCCTTGTCCTCACCGGCCCCACCTGAGCTTTCCTTCAGCCTTTTGTCACCCTGCCCTGACAGTTCTGGCCACTGTGAGGGACAGGGTGGACCGTGCTGGAGGAGACCATCACAGGACTGCGCATGGGTGGCCGGCAGAGCTCTGTCCCACCAATGCTGATGCCTCCCCTGGTTTCACTGCAAGGCCTTTTTATGCTAGCCAGTCTGTCCAATCAAGGACATGTGCCCCACTAGACTGTAATTCCCATGGAAGCAGGAGCCTGGTCTGTGTCACTTATGACATCTCCAGCCCCCTACGAAGCCTCAGCATGCAGTAGGCATTCAGCAAATTGGTTGGATGAATGAATGAATGCACGGAGGAATGAATGAATGGTATATTGGAGGCATGGCATTTTTTGAGCTGAATCAGGGAGCACTTCTCAGGAAAAATGCAAGCCCTTCCCTGGGGCGAGCCTCCTCAGCCTCCTTGGGGGCAGACTGCCTCCCTCCTCTGCCCCAAGGGCATCACTGGCCACCCTGCTGGGCCACCTCATGGTTTGGTTTCCTATCCCTAGGGAGCCAGGCTCTGGAGCTGGGCCACAAAGGCTCTGCAGTTTGCCCTGCCAAAGGGCATCACTCCAATCCTTCTCCATAAAGTTATTTGCACAGCATCCTTCCCTTTGCCCTCCCTTCCTCCTGCTTCAGAGAAACTCCTTGTTCTGTGCATTTGACACGTTTTGATTGGAAACATCATGGAGTTGTTCATTTGTTAAAGCTGCCTTCCCGTAGTGAGGCCTCATGCTTGCTTCTAACCCCATGGTGTGCTGGGCCACCTCTCTGGCTTGTTTTGGAGGTTGTGTTGGTCATTTAAAGGTGAGGAGAGGAGGACGAGTTGACCACAGGACAGAACTCTAGATAGCTCAGACAGGTGAGGACAAGAATCAGAGTTGCCCAAGGCCTGCCCAGCAAGACTGCAGATTATTGAATTATTATTGAGCCCAACCAGACTCCAAGGCTGCACAGATCCCTGAGTTAGACATGGTGCCTGCCTTCTCCATGGTAACAAGGCTAAATATGGACGTGTTTCCATGGAGAGCCATACTGCAGCTGCAGCCCCGCTTCCTCCAGGAAGCACCCACACTGGGCTCCTTTCGCATCTCAGGAGGTGGCCAGAGGTGCCACAGACATCAAGAAAGCATATCTTACCTTTGAGGATGTTTGTTTCCAACAAGGGTTCCATTTCCCTTGGCCTGGAATCATCAACATCCCCTCCTCTTGACAGGGAGAAGTTAGGAGAGGTCATGGGTCAGACGGATGAGTCGATGAGGGAAAGTGATGCTGGACCCGATGAGCGTTTGTGCAAGTTAGCCCATCTTCCTCGTGCTCTGCGGAGTGGCCTCACCTGTTACAGGAGGAAAGGGGTGTCTTTGGTTAGAGGGAGACAACTGTAATGACCCTGTGTGTAAATATACTGCTGTCCCTCTCATCGGACCTCTTTTGGAAGAATGATTGCTGCTATAGGGAGTTTTTTAAATGCTTTCCATAATTGGGGTGGCCCCCTTCCAATTTCCTAGAGTATTCTAATGTGACAGGGTGCTATATTTTTCTTTAAGGAAAGTAAGTCTTTGCTGCTCATTTGAATTTGAATCCATCAAATCTCTGCATATCTTAAGTGTCCGGTAGAGCCACGTGGGGTGAAACTTTGTGTCTGTTGAAGGTTAAACATATAGCTGAGTATTCGGCTTCAAAATACTCTGTTTAACCTCACTTGGCTATTTAGTCATTACATCATCTGTGTTTATAGTTTAATCGTCTGTTAAATTGGGGCCGTCCATGCACAGCTGATCATATGGGTGTGTTCGTATATATTAGGAAATATTTATAACATGTATGTATACACAGAGAGATGGGTGTGCTCCCCAGTTAACTAAGATACGGAAACTGAGAAAGATGTGGAGAGAGTTCTTGAGGCTATTATAAGTAGTCTCTGAAGGAAGAGTCATATTGTGTGTTCTGTGTTGCAGGCTGAGTGGCATCAGAGCCGAGTGATGGACGACCTGCAGTCCCAGAACCTCTCCATGGACATGACCGACTCCTCTCCCACCTTGACCAATAACAGACTGGAGAATGGCATGGCCCAGCTGATCACCACTGAGGCCTGGAACATCAACTCCACCGACCTGGTAAAGAAGGCCCTGGTGACCGTGCCGGCCCCATCCATTCTGAACCCCCCGGCCGAGTCCCAGAGCGGCGTGGCCCTGAAGGTGGCGGCCACCGTGCTGCAGCCCCTGTGCCTCGGGGAGAGCTCAGTGGTGATGCCCATTCACATGCAGGTGGAGGGAAGCTCCGCGCCCGAGCTCAACCCTAACGGCAATGCCACCTACGTCATGACCACACAGGGCCCCGTGCAGCTGCCAGTGGTGCTGGAGCAGCACGTCTTCCAGCACCTCAACTCCCCCCTGGTCCTGCCGCAGGAGGCCCCGTGTTCCTCCAATGCCATCCACAACAACCTCTTCCAGGGAGCCGAGGACCCCGAGGCCCAGCCGCAGCTCCTAGACCTGAGGATCCCCAGCCAGCCGCAGGAGCCCACCTTGCCGTTTGAAGCTGTGCTCCAGAATCTGTTCCCCTCGCAGGGTGCTCTTGGCCCCCCACCCTGTCCGCCTCCTCCGGGATATGCCCCTGTGCCCCCCCAACCCTTTAACTCCCCACTGTCCCCCCTGGTCCCGCCAGCCACACTCCTGGTGCCCTACCCTGTGATCGTCCCCTTGCCTGTACCGGTCCCTATCCCCATCCCCATCCCAGTGCCTCAGAGTTCTGAATCCAAGTTCAGTTCCAGTTTCCCCAAGCCACCATCTTCCTTCGGCTTGCACCCCTTTAAAGGCACGCAGCCCCCTCTACAAAAGGAGGAACTGAAGCCCTTCGACATCCTCCAGCCGAGGGAGTACTTCCAGCTCAGCCGCCACACAGTCATTAAGATGGGGAGTGAGAACGAGGCCCTGGATCTCTCCATGAAGTCGGTGCCCTGGCTCAAGGCTGGTGAAGTCAGCCCCCCGATCTGCCAGGAAGATGCAGCCCTGGACCTGTCACTGGCGACCCACCGGAAATCTGAGCCTCCCCCTGAGACTTTATATAACAGCAGCGGGTCAGTGGACAGCCCAGGTCACACTGTGATGGAGAAACTTCCCAGTGGTGTGGAAATGCCCTTTGCCCCTGCTGCGCCCCACGAGGCCTCAGCCATGATGGATACTCATGTGGGTGGCAGCAACACCACTGAGCCGCCTAGCCAGCCCAGCCAGCCCAGCGGTGAGGTCAAGGCTGAAAATAACATTGAGATTGTGAGCGAGTCCCAGGCGGCCAAGGTCATCGTCTCTGTGGAAGACACTGTGCCTACCATCTTCTGTGGCAAGATCAAAGGCCTCTCGGGGGTGTCCACCAAAAACTTCTCCTTCAAAAGAGAAGACTCCATGCTTCAGGGCTACGACATCCACAGCCAAGGAGAAGAATCCATGGGAAACACGGAGTCCCTTAGGAAACCCATCAAAAACCGGAGCATAAAGTTAAAGAAAGTGAACTCCCAGGAAATACACATGCTCCCAATCAAAAAACAACGGCTGGCCACCTTTTTTCCAAGAAAGTGAATAATGGCTTTTTAAAATTTTTATGATTATAATATGGGGAAAGGTGCATTGGTTTTATAAAAAGGCATTTAAAACAAATTATCTTTGTTAATTATTTTGGGGAGTAGTTGGGGAGTGGGAAGGTGAATTGGCTCTAAAGGCCCTGTAAGCTAGTATCATTTTCTTTTTTAATTTTTGACTTTTCACAAATGATTAAATAAGAGCAACCTATTTTTCAAGCAGATTGCACATTTTTTGCAGCTTTAATGGAACATTGGGTGAATCAGAGGGGTAAAAAAGCTATTTTCATTGCCACAAAGTGCTTTGATGATGTAATACCTAATAAAGGGTAGGATGAATACTTCACAATAAATGTTTGTTTGCACTAATTGGTCACAGTATTCTATCATTTATGAGATTTGCATTCCTTAACTGACATGGTTTGACCAAAACTGTCACTGTAAAGCGCTACAAGTTCTGTGTCGAGAGACCTAAGCTCTTCAGGCATCTTGGGCAGAGAAGAATCACATTGGCCTGTGCCCTCAGAAGAGGAGGACAAGGAACAGGTATGACCTTGAGTGAGTCCCTTCCCCTTCTGGCCTTTTTCTTCATTTGTAAAAATGTAGCAAAGAGAGAGGGTGGGGAGGTGAGCCTCAGGTACCCAAGACCCCCTCCAGTTCACATAGACCCTGGATGTGCCAAAATCTGTGTCTGAAACCTTACATAGACTAAAACAGACAAATGGCTCTTGAGGAAAATTTATCTGCTTCCTCCCCTCGCTGCTTCCAGAATTTAGCTGGAAGGACTTTCATTTTAAGGGCAGTAGGAGTATTGTTCTCAATGACTGGAAGTCTTGCAGGTCAAAGTATTACCCAAGGCCACTCAGAACAAGAGGAAGATTTGGTGGATTAGGAGGTGTCTCATAAGAGTTCCCAAACCTGGGTAGAGATATTTGGGAGTAGGGTTTTGTAGGGAAGAGAAAGCAATTCTTTGTTAGTTTAGCCCAGTGGTTCTCAACTGGGGGTGAGTATGCCCTCCAGGGAGTATCTGGCGACGCCTGGGGACACTTGGGGTTGCCACAGCTGGAAGAGGGGGTGCCACTGGTCTCTGGTGGGTAGAGACCGGGACGCTGCCGAACATCCCACCACGCACAGGGCAGCCCCCACAGCACAGAATGATCCAACCCCAGTGTCAGCAGGGCCGAGGCTGAGAACCCATGATGAAACCATTTCTCGATGGACAGGAGACACGCACCTGGGTGAAGAGGACAGCGGATCACTCTTCTCGACAGCACAAAGCCACCCGCACCAATCAGTAACTGTGAGTGTACATTTAACATAGATCTGCCAGGTGGCCCAGCACACTGGGGTCTGAAGCGGTGCTGACAAGAGATTGATTACGCCATGCCTGCTTTTAAACTTAAAATGCTTTCTTTCACTTCTTGCAATTAGTATGTATCCAGCTGTTAACTGTGAACACAGACAGGAGGGAAACCAGTTGCGAGACTGGGGTTTTTTCTTGTTTTTTGTTTTGTTTTGTTTTGTTTTTATCACCAGGCCCTCTGTGGATAGGGTTACAGTTTTAGCTGGTCCTGTACCGTACACCCAGAATGGATTTTCTTTTTCCTGCTCTTTGCCTGTGTTGTTAAAATTTCTTTTTCAAAGTGTGACAAGATGGTAAATAAGCAAGTAGTTGTTTCTCGTGAGGCTGACTGGTTCCATTCCCTCGCACCAACCCGATCCCATCCTTTCAGCTGCTATGTGCTGCAGTCTTTTTCCATTTTTACTCCCATAGTGGGTTTTTGGCCATGTTTCCTGAGCCTGACATGTGTAATTCCAGTTTCCAGTACAACCAACGCAAATGTGCCTAGGGACTAGCATTTCCCCTTCAGCGGATGTCTTTTTCTCTTCATGTTTGGGGCTGTTTCTGCTGCCCCTGCAGTGCCAGGCAGCCTTTCTACATCAGCCAGCAGGGACCCCACCTTCACAGTGTACTGGGAAAAGCGGCTTCTTATCTGGCTTTGAGGGAACAGAATTCTCCATTTGCCCTTTAGAAGCAAGTGCTTAAAGCTGAATGACGTATAGGTAGAAAGGAAAGCATCTGTAGCCTGTAATCACATTATGCACATCAAGCTGCAAATTTCTCTGTGTTGTATCTGGAGATGCCCTTTTCTCTTTGGATGTCGGCTCTGGTTGGGTGGGAAATGCTGGCTCCACCGCCATCCCTGGGTGTTGAGCCACCGTAGGCCAGCCCCCCACCCCGGCCCCAGAACAGGCTGCTTCTCCCACCCCAGCCACACCCATCCGTGAGCCTTGCCAGGCGTTGTCCTCGCTGGGGTCTTTGGAGAGAGGCCTCACGGTGGGGACTGGCTGTCGCGTTGGGAGACACAGAGTGTTGTGTTGGGACCAGGGTTGTGCTACTGGGGGCAGTAACCCCCTCTGCCTGCCCCCCTTGCCAGCCTTTGATGGAAACCAGAATCTACTGGGCCAGGGATTCAGGATAAGTGCAAAGGACATGCTGCTGCAGCCAGAGCAAGCCTAGGGTTCCCTGGTGGCTCATTTCCACACTCTCTTCCTAGTCAGGAGTTTGCAGCCTTTCACACAAACCTTAAGTAAGAACCATCATCCTGGAACCGTGGTTCCTGATCTGAGGCACATGACACCCCAGGGCGCATAGGCCCGTCAGACTCTCAGGCCCCATCATTGTTCTGCTGGAGTCCACAAGCCATTCTCTCCCCGGCCTCACTGCTGTTGCCAGCCAACCTACTGCCAGCTTTCAGCCAGGCAGGATTTCCATCAGGCTTTTGCTCATGACTTAATTTCCCCTCTCTTCTCAAAAAAATGTTTTGGCCAACTAGCCTGAAGAACAGCTTTTCAGAGTCTTTTAGAAAATATAATTAGTTCCCAGGAATGTTGATATTTACTCAGACTTGTCAAGATGGCTTCAGTTGGCTTCAGTTCAGAAATGATAAAAAATTGGAACAAATTACAAAGATCCGTATTTAGGGGTGGTGTTCCTCCTGGTAAGGTAAAACCTAGTTGGTCTAGAGGGAAAAAAATGAAAGATTTAAAGAGGATACAGTTACTGCCCTAACCAAGGAAGTCCTTGACAGTGAGTAGAAAATTTTAAAGTGAGGTCAAAGATTTGTTTAGATTCAGAGGCAAAACTCTCACACTTTAAGCATGAAAAAATATGTCTGCAATGATGAAAACCCCAAACTCCAAAAAGAAGGAAGGAGGGAAGTGGGGAAGGTTGCCAATTCCTGAGAGACTATGTCAATATAGTCATTATCTTTATAAGTAGCCTAATTAATAAAACAAAGCAGGAAAGGATTTAGATTTCACTTTACAAGTGAGAAAATAGAGGCTCAGAAGAGTTTTCTACTTCCAGTTTTTAAAGCAACAACAACTCAAAAATATGTACTTTGCAATGATTCTTAAATATTGGGTTTGAAGCCCAATGAACCCACAGGAATTTGGATCCTTTGGGGACAAAAAACCAGTACGAATTAGTGAAGGGTCGGAATTACAGATTTTTTTCCAATTATTTTCAAGACCATTCCAGTTAACTGGAATGCCCAGAGCACTTGGCACAATGGTAAAGGGGAGATTTCAAGCTGAGGGTGAGGATGCCAAGCCTCTAAAAGCCACACTCAAAAGCTGCTAAGCTGAAAACTTTAACAGCAGGGGAAAAAGCGTTAGAGATCCTTCTGGCTGACTTTACTCCTCGTTAAATAAAAAAAGGCAATTTTCCAGAACAGCTCACTACCACCAGGTCAAATAACTAACCTCCCACGTCAGGGGAACAAAATAGAGTGTATCTGAGGTCTTTAGGGTGGCATTTTAATAAATTGAGATTTTATTTTAATGCACAAATTGGTTATTTTGTAGTACGTAATATATATGAGTACTTGAAAGAACTAGTTCCAAAATACTGCAAATAATCCATCTGCAACTGTTATTAGACCAGGGGATTTTCACGCAAAGTGAGATTTTTTTAGGCCTGCTCTGCCAAAATTATGAACAAGTTCAAGTTAAAGGAGATGAACTGTTGAGGTTTACCATATTAACCCGACTCGGAGGTTATTTTCCATCCAACTATATTCTATATAGACAGGCAAATAAAAGTGTAGGCTCGCACTGCAGATAATGATGATAAAGGTCACCTGGAGCCTGTCCTCCACCTGCTAAATCATTTCTTTACAAATGTAAGTTTTGATAACCCAGTCAATTAGTCGGAATGCCATGAGACCCTTTCCATCGGTAGTGCGTGCTGCCAGTTCTGAATGGTGTCAGGAATTCAGTTTTATTTATAACTCTTCAAATAAGGAACTTGAAAAGATTTTTTCAATGCAGAAATTTTCATTAGGACACATTTCAAGCCATATTAAGAACCACCACAATGAACAGACCAGATTCTTTGAGAGGAGGGACTGAATCTTATGTATCTCAAGGTCTCTCCACCTCGGCACTACTGGCATCTGGGGCTGGGTGGTTCTCTGCTGTGGGCGCTGTCCTGTGCATGGTAGGGTGTTCTAGCAGCTCCTCTGGTCTCTACCCGTGAGATGCCAGTAGCACCCCTCCCCCTGCCCCAATTGTGACAACAAAAATGTCTCCAGACATTGCCAAGAGTCCCCTGGGGGAAAAGTCACCCCTGGCTGAGAACTACTACTGTGTCTCTAGGGTCTGTCTTAACACCTGGACCACAGCAGGAGCTCAAAATTCTTTGAAGAATGAATTTAATCAAGAAACAGAGAGCGTAGCTCTGGTCTCTGGTGCCCTACTCGTATTTTCTGGTTTACTAACTCGAGGCTGATCTGACTAGGAAACTATTACTGGGAACCTCCATTCATCCATCCAAAGGGCCATCACTCATCCAGCATATAACAGGGCCTTCTAGAAGTTTCTCCCTAGTAAACAGGGTTCAGCAAGACTACTCCCCCTCAGAGAAAGGTGAGGCACTCACTCAGCCAGTTCTGAAAGGTTACCTCATGATTTTACCCACACCATGAAACTGGAAGGACCCATTATCCAAAACTCACCCCATGATGACTGTTCATCAGTCTTATTTCCAAGAGCAGCATGACCCAGGAATTTACAAACACAGCCAAGAAGTTGGGTGTGTTTTTTCCCCCTCATGTTTTACCTAAATCCTTGCTGTAATCAAGCCCAGTTTTTTGTTTGTCCTTAATGGAAACGAAGGCCAAATCTCCTTTTAGTAGTTTCCTATTTAAACACCAGATCTTTTCGCAGCCTCCTTCCCTTCCCATCTCCTCTCGTACTCTCTCAGCTCCTACTTTATACTCCCTTTTTCACCTTGGCTGCTCTTTCCCCAGTTTCCCCATCATATGGTCTAACGACCTCTGAACTCAGAATTAGGGGACCAGTTTCCCAGCCATCATTCCCTCCTCTGGAAGGGAAGCTGGGCCCCCTCTGGCAAAACAGTCAAGGATCCAAGGCTCCATCCCAGCACCATCCTCGCAATGCAGAAACTCAGCCCCTGGTTACAGAATGTCAGCAGGTGTTAGCCCCCCACGTGGCCACAATGGCACTGGAGACAATTGAAGTGTTGAAGTGCCCCAGGGAATTCAGTCTTCCTTGAGGCCAGACCAACACTCGAGTTAACAGTTTTTTTTGTTAACAAGCAATTTTTTTCCTAAATGCAGCTTTATGATTTCAAGTACTGCACTCATGGCAACCAGCTAACAAGGTCTTGCCTGGCAGAAGTCCTTGGGGGAATCGTCTTAACACAGGGATAACATTGTTTGTAAAGAGGGTATCAACTCTTTGTAAGTGAATGGTGCTCCTAAGGTACTTGAGAGTGGGTGAGAACAGTCTGTTTTCTTTGTGTGGCTGGGGAATGCCACCAGGCAGGCAGTGGGCGAACCAGATAATGGACGGCTAATTCTTTAAGCTCCGAGACCTTTTATTGCAACTGTTTTCAATGGGAATCTTTTCAAAATGCATCAAGCATCTGGCAGAGGAAACCCTTCCTTGACTCGGTCATTGTTCTGGCATTGCTGCCTGGCCTGGGCTGGAAGGCCACGATGCCCCCAGGCCGCCAGGGAAGGAGAGCTGTTTGTCTCCAGCAGTGCTGACTCTCTGGTTCCCAGCACCCCCTCCAGGCTGGTGCCTCTCTTCTTTTTCATTCAAAACAAATCTTTCCCAAATGTGTCCCTTCTCAGTGTCCATGACAGCAGGGGATCCTGGACAACAACTGCTGGCCAACTGGTTCTCATCCATAAGCTGACCCATAGCAGGAAAGGTCCCCACTCCCTTAGCAAGTGTCTCCTCTCCATCCTGCAAGGCCCTGCCCCGGTGCTGCCTCTGGGAAGATATCCCCAGCGCCTTTCTTCCCTCTCCGTGCTCCCCTGAGCCCCACTGCAGGGGAGTGACACTGCTAGGGAAGGCTCTCCAAGTAGAAGTGGCTGCCCGGTCCTCAGCTCTTGGCCCACAGCGGCGCGGTGCAGAGGAGCCTGGAGAGCCTCGACAAGTGCTTACTGAGTTGAAACAGAGTGCCTTCTTCACTCTTTACCACTTCGTGGCTCTGGGGGCCCCTGCCCTGGGCTTGGCTACTGTCAGGCCCTTCGGCTTTGGGCCTGACCTGGATCTTGATTGAAGATGATCTGTGCAAGCCCGAGACCAACAGGGCTTTGTGTTTTAGACTTGCGCTCCCTGCCCCCTCGCCCTCCACCTGTTTATTTACTCTTTACACTGTCTCTTGTTGCCACTGTGAAGGTTAAAATCCCGCAGAGCCCGCTTGAGACACTGCAAATTTCCGAATTAATGAAGTTTTAATCAATGTTTCACTGAAGTTCCTTCTTTCTCCCTCCCTCCTTCCCTCTCCCTCCTTCCCTCTCTTTCCTTCCTCCCTTTCTTCCTCCCTTTC